GATTTTGAAGCCATAGCCATCAATAGTTGTATGTTAGAATTTCCCAGCTCAACTATTTCTGGTTCTAACTTTTATTTTAATCAAGGTTTGTGGCGTAAGATACAAGAAATGGGTCTAATAAAGGAACATAAAGAGAACGAAGATATAAGAAATGTCTGTAGAATGATTTCTGCATTAGCTTAGTTGCCAACAGAACACACATAGATGATGCTTAGAGCATTGTATGGGTAAAAGTATTGACAAACTTACCACATTCATTGATTATTTTGTCGAGCAGTGGATGGACAATCCACATATGCCCATTAAAGTATGGAATGTATATGGACAGCGTCATAGGACAAATAATTCTGTTGAAGGGTGGAATTCCAAATTAAATGTAATCGCTGGCAGAAACCAACCTAATGTGCACTTATTAGTTAAAATACTAAAAAAAGAAACACAAGAAGTGTCTTTTAATTTGAAAGCCATAGAATTAGGCGACCCTGGAATAAAAAGGAAAGAAGCATATGTAAAACTGTACGAAAGAACAGAAAACATCCTAAAAGAATTCGAAACATCAAACAATTTAGAAAAATGTCTAAAATCTTTAAGTTTTCTAACTAGGTTGGACTAAATCAAATGGTAAATGATATTTATGCTTTTATAATAAAGGGTAGTTAGTATTTACTTATTTGTACTTACTTTTTCTTTTATTTACTTGTATCTGTTTTGTATATTTTACTTCTAGTATTTATTTTTATTTACATTAATGAAAATAATTAATTTTATGGCAACTGCACCTGTTCTAATATTTATTTGATGAAAAAAGTGATTCCTCCACTCACGAAGTTATTAAAAACGTAGGGGAGTACGAATATCTAATCGAACAGCCGCATAAACAGCTCAGAACTATACATCATAATGTTAGATGGTAGTTCATGTATATATTTTATTATTTTCAACTATTTAATCTAGATTTTGTTTCATCTTTATCATCATTTTCATCTTACTATGGACTTTGCCGGGTACCAAGGCTGCTGACTTGTATGATCACTAAATTCGTGTATCACGTGACAGTCTACTTCCCTATGAGTATTAAGATATAGGTACTTTCGCTTCAGACGAAAGCACAAAAATTTCTGGGACTTGTATATATTATTTTTCATTTTTACGGCACGATACTGTGTCAAATCTACGATAATGTGTAAAAGATATGCCCTTGCGAAAAGATATGCCAAAGTTATTAGTTGCTATTATTGCTTATCCAACGAAGACTTCATCTGTGGCCGATATATGGCGTCACCGCTGATCAACTTCTTCACTACTGAAGACTTTGCACTTTTATTACAAGTGCACAGGACATTCCCATTTTTATGGAATTTAACGAACTTTTGCAGGTCCTTAGGGAATTGATAAACATGTAGTGGTAAAGGCCTTCGGGTCGAACACCACTTAACGAATGATGATCTCCGATTTGACTCTAAAATACAGTTTTCCACAAAATCCCTGAAATCCTGAGTGCAGTTAAGGTGCCTGAGGGGGAATAAACTTCCAAGCGATTCCTTCTTCAGCTAAATAATCTAGCTACTTTTCATCAGAATGTCTAATTAAATTGTTAATTTTTTAATTCGACATTTGCAACAGCGAAATAGTTTACGTTATCTGAAAAAATGACTGACGCAATAAATGTTTTAGTAGAAGGAATACTTGAAAAATTAAATTTAGGACTAATTCTGCAATTTTGTATTCAATAAGAAGGATGTAATTTATTAATAATTAAGTTTTAAATCTGGCAAAATGCCTGTACAACTGTCATCTATTACTTCGATTAATTAATCTATTATTTCAATTAATGGTCAGTAGCAGAAGAGATTAAAAAGCATTTATGCCTAAAAGAATTATATGTTGTAATTTAAACGAATAACACAATTAAGCATGAGAATAATTAATTTTGGATAGCTTGTGATAACTGAATTTAAGTTCATTGTTGAGTTATATCTGTAATTTTTTTTAGAATTTGAGGAATATTTATTTAGAATTGTTTATTGAAACAATTTCATTAAAATATTTTTTACTGTAATCATATCCAGTTGCAGTCTTTTTAGATTACACTGTTGGGGAAAAGGCGATTGGTTTGGTTTAATTTATTTAAGTATGGCAAAGCACACTAGGGATATCTGCCTAAGGGGGGATGCCTTTCTGGAGGACTTTCTAAGGTAAACTGGTTCATATACACATTACACATGGGGAAAAACCACGAAAACGCCCATGCAGTCAGTCCATTCGCTGAATTCGAACTTCGGACCGAACTACCAGTGTTCAGCGGGGGGGGGGGGAAGGAGGAATTCTAGAACATTACTAATTTATTGCCAAAAAACCATTAAGTATAATACACCAGTTTTTTTTTTTTTTCTCTCAGCTATTTCATGATGCATGTGTAACTTTCAGATGTCTTAAAATTCAATAACGGAAAGTAATGCAGATGTAAGAAAAGCATAAAATTTGAGCTTCTTTTTAACATTAGGTATATTTTGAAAGAAAATGCTGTATATCTTTTAGAAAATCTAAGGTATTTTTCCTTAAAACAACTTAAAATTAATTAAAGTTACAAACACGACACACAAATAAATAAATGCAGCATGTTTCGTTACAAGCAGTAGCTGTAGACATTTCACATGAAACATATGTTCTACATGTGTAATTATTTATAGTAATATTACAATCAAAATATTCAATATTTGAGAATACATCATTTATGTATTTCGTATAAGACAAATATATTCTATATGCATAATTATTTGGAAGAACTTTTAAGTATATTATCTGCAACTTTTATATACATATCTCTAATATTTCACATGGAAAATACATGTTCTTCTTACATAATCACTTGCAATAACCTTACAAGCAGAACACTAGTAATCTACAAATATTCTCCTTAGTAATTCACATACAAAAATTACGTTCTACTTACACTATTATTTCCTGTAATCTTTACATTATTACTGTATACATTGATAAACCACATATGAAAACTATGTTATACTTACACGATAATTTCCTGTAACATTACAGATCAAAGATCTGTAACCTTTACATACACATGCTTCGGTAATCAACATACAAAAACTTTGTTATGCCTATACAATTATCTTCCTGTAACATTACATGTCAAACATCTGTAACCATTACAAGGATAATCTCTTTAAAGTTACTAAGAATATTCTTGTTATTGATTACTCAAATTACGTTCTACTTAAGTAGAAAGCATCCCAGTTTCCACGACTTTTCTTAGTAACCTTAAAGATTTTTTTTTACAGTGTAGGCACCTAATAAGTAGGCCACCTTTGCCTCCTATGAAAGGACGAGCAGTTAAAAACATGCCTTCTCTGGGATTCGAATGCGGGCCCTTTGATATTGCAGCCGGCAAATCGCTAAATATACCTTTCCTTGAATTTGTCCCTTGTACCTAATAAAAAGTGGGCTACAAAAATAGGTGTAGAAATGGTTAACCCTTTGCGGCAAAGTGTGTCCGGTCTGGGCATACCTAAAATTTTCCTTCTGTACGCACAGAAAAATTTAATGAAAAAGGATTTATAGGTTACTCTGAACCTTCTTTATTTATAGTAGATGGCAGCTCAACACAAACCAGTCCATATATTTTAGCCATGTTTAGTTTTTTAAGACCCTCATTTTTCAAAGAAATCTTCCAGATTTTTTTTAGGGTATAAAAGGAATTGTTTGAAGAAATTTCTGTGTTATATGCTAATCTCCTTATTCTATATTAGTTTTAACTTTACCTTGAAATCTTGCCTAAAATCAAACGGCGAACCCTAGGTGTGCCCAGACCTGATCACCGATAATCTAGGACAACTGAAAGTCTGTATTCTTTGTTTCTCCGCATCTCATCGGTCAGTTCATTGACCACAATGCTCGTTTCAGCACTCTTTTCGAAGCTCTATTCAATCAGTGTGCCACTTTGGGCGCACCCACAGAATTAAAACGATAAGTGTTATCTTCACAAAATTTTACTTGTGTGTGAAAAAATTTACTCCTCTAGGCATAATTAGACTGCCTACCTTTTTTTTTTTTTTTTTTTTTAATCAAAACTCAGACTTTAAAAGGTAGCGTGCCGCAAAGGTTAAAGGGTGCTCTGTAGGAAATGAACCCATAATTTGTTCGATAGTTATTAGTTTATTTTCAGTTATACAATTATGGTTAATCTTTCCAGTTAAATTCTTATCTTGAAATGGCCAAAATTTCTGCCTCATAAAACGCAGTAATGCTTTATTTCCAATGATAATGTTCAGCGATTAATTTAGTTATTTTTCATTTAACAGGCAGAATTATTTGATCTTTTCGCAAAAATTTTAAACTGGCATCCTACTTACATTATTTGCACCCAAAAATGAGTTCAAAGAAAGTAAATGATCTATTATTAATGGATTTACCTTGTGCGAGGGAGTTGTAATCTAAATAAAAATCACATTTTTAAACCTATTTTACTAAGAAGTATTCTGGTTATTTAACCCTTTTGGACTTATCCATCCTGTTCTGTGTTCTTTTCTGTTTGTTACAACTAGAGTTCCAAAAGAACCTGATATAACTAATAATTCTGAGTAATTGTTAGTGAGATTTAGGATACAATAAATAAATTCTGAAGTAAGCGCATGAAAAAGCAATATCAGTTCTTTTTCTCAGTTCACTGGAAAATTTGCCTGTTTTTTTTTTAATTGTTCAATGTTCTTATTAGGCATGATACTTTCCCTCAATGGAGGACCATTTCAACAGAGAGGTACGAATAAAATCTATAGTAGCGTTAGCGATGGTTACTATAGTGTTTTCCTCAATACCCATAACTGCACCATTGATACCTGAAATAGAAGCATTTATTCTTCTTCTCTTATAAATAATGATTCCATGCATTCTTTAGTAATTAAATTATTTTCAGAACCACAATTTTAACTGGTTCTTCTTCACTACTCTTCCATAAGATGTGTAACAAATCTCTTTGATGCTCCTTAATCAAAATCTAACAATACAATTTTAACAATGTCTGCTGTGAAGGCAAATTTGTGAGCACGAAATCTGTAAATAATATCAAATAGTTTGTCTTGAACCAACCCTCCATTCAGTAAAACATCGTTTAACGAGATTCCAGTAGTCATAAGAGCAGTGACATCGAACACTACCCCGAGTTTAGTGCTAGATTTATCAGACCTGAAAACGTCATAATGAGGGAGATAATATGAAAAACTAAAGTTATTCTTTTTAGCAATTTTTCTGGAATGGCCTAACTTGTTATATTCCTTACTGAAATCTTCATATAAGGATTTCATAGTAAGACTGCGAGCGAAGCGTTTAAGCAAATAATTCGATCTTTCACTAGCGTTTTCTCTTAATCTGCGTAAAAGGCTAAGCCAGTCTTCCTTAACTGGCATTTCCACTATATGTTTAACCATCATCTTGCTTTTTAATATTCTGAAAGTGGCATTGCGTGCAGGCAAAGAAAGTAATTAATTATAAAATTCTTCATTTTTTTGCTTCATTAACCCATTTAATCTCCCAAATTGTCAGATAAATGATCCACAGTTTCAACAATCCTACAATGATCAATATTGCCTCGTTGCGGCATGCGTACTGACCTGCTAACGATATATCCAAAAACTGACTGCTGGAGAAGCAAGTCTTGCATGTTTATTCTATTTGCTCCTAGTAAATCAAAAAATACTTTGTTAGATAATAAAACATGTAGTGGGCCAGGTTTATAAAAACTCTGAATCAGCTAAAACAATGGGTTCCAATTACTTATGATTACAAATTCAAATTGTTTCTTGACAGTTAAATTTAAGAATTGCACACATTTCAACAACAAATGATCATTTTTAGAATTAGAATAAACACATTTCTTTTTAATATTCTGAAAGTGGCATAAGAGTTTTGGCATTAAATGGACGTCTTGGTTCCCTTTGCGGAGGTTTGAAATGTGATGGGGTACGAGCGTGTTCTTTCAAAAAACATGCCAGTTGATTAGCTGTTCCTATTTCATATTTTTTAAAGTAATCTTTCCCACCAACAAGTATTTCTATTCAACTAATAAATAAACATTTAAATTCTTCCCCCCTTAGCTCTAATGCTCCCAAGGATCATAAATATTCATGTACATTAACGATAAATTTTAAAAGCGACAGAGCAGAATTACTTGTTTGATGTATAGAAATTAATTTATTATTAAATTGATCAATTTTTTTTTTGTTGTTGGAATAGCGTTTAATAAACTCCATGCTACGTCATAACTGGAATGGAATGAATAATATTTAACGCATCTGGCTCACAAGAACTCTTTATATATTCCAATTTTTGTGCATTATTTAATTTACCTTTTTTATGCGCAGCTGAGGAAATTAAATCCTCAAATTCAATGCATTCTTCGATTGTTGCACAGATTTAATACAGGAAGCGACAATTTAGACAACTTAATATCCCATGTGTGTACATGGATACAAGTTAGTTTCCCTTAGAAAATCCTTTACAAAGGCATCCCTCCTCCTAGGCAAATAGTGCTTTGCCATATTTATTTAAATCAAACTGTCTTTAGCAAAACTTTCAAAAGTTTTGGTAAGAGTTAAAGCTGAAAATGCTGTTTCCCCATAAGCATTATAATGCTGAATGGCAGAATACATAATGCCATTTCAGAAATTAAGGGAAATTCAGCTCTAGCTTCGATCAGAGAACTCTGTTAAGGATATAAGTGGAAGCTCAAGTATTAAGTCACTAGCTTAAGAAATTCCTTTATTATATGAAATTATTTATTTATATGAAAGGTATGCTCATTAATATAATTTCTTTACATTCATGCATCTAAATGAATTTTTGTGACCCACAGTTTAAGAAATGTCAATATAAAATATATACCAGTCCTCGAAATTCGGGATTTGACTCTAGATTTTTAAAGCCTCAACTTTATGCTCTTAGGGTTCATATGTTGCAATTCATACAAAATCTTGCAACAATTTAAATTCTTTAATACTTCATCCCTGACAGGGATAAATCATCCAAATTCAAAGGCATTCATTTTCAGTGGTCAGAAATAGAATCGGATATATACTTTAAATTCTTTACAGAAATGTTATACTAATGAAATTTAGAGTCAAAAACAACAAAAAGAAGACAACGTAAGATCTTGATTTATGATATTTTGTTTCCCATGTCTAGCCACAAATTTTATGTATAAAATACATTTGGCAACATCGGAACCAATTACATTTTCGATTTAGCATTTAATATACTGCAATCTGGCTAAATGTAGAGGATTTCTGTTTCATATAAGAAATAATTTGAATTTATAAAAAAATAAACTGCTTTATTTAGCTATTTGAAGTTTAATTTTTCATTATATATTTTGATAAGAGCTGTGGTTTCACTGTGAAGATTTTCAATAATTTTCTGTTTCAATTAATTCATCTCAAAATCTTTAATTTTTATTAACTCTGTAGAGAACATGATTTTATGCTGAAAAAACATTTCATTCTTGATTTGAATCCTGAAAGTACAATGAATATACATTTAACCCTTTGTTGCATCATGTCCACTCTAGTAGTTTAAATTTGTTTATTCTTCTGTAAATAACTTAAAAGATTCCATTCCTGTGTTTATTCATTCTGTATTATTAGAACTTTCAACTGTCGATCATAGATGGCTGTATAGTATCAAATTGTAAGTAAAGCATTGCTATTTGGAAAATGGCTGCTACTTCTGTTTCCAAGTTAGTACAATTTCTGATAGTAAACATTATATAATATTGCTTACATTTCCTTATACTGCCATTTTTTATTCATTATTAGTAATTTTAGACATTTTATTGTAAATGTCAGTTTGAGAAAATTGTAGAGTGGGTGAATAAAGATCTACTGAAAAGAAAGAATTGAAACCCAAATTTACTGCTTATCAAGCCAAAACACCACTGGAAATGTTTATGTTTGGCAAGGAATTTCTAAAACATTTGACATTTGAATCCAATAGGTACAGGTTACAAAATGAATTCAATCACAATCGACGAAATGAAGGTATTTTGGGGGATCTGTATGTACATGTCAGTTGTAGATTTACCATTTAGCAGATGGTAATGATCACTGCAAACAAGGCAGGAAATGATTTCAAATGCAATGACCGTAATCGTTTTGAAGAGATTTGTATGTATGTACGTATATGCATGGTGTCCACTGTAGTGAACAAACTGTAGCAATTATTTAAAACGAAATTTGAATAAATTTTTTTTTTTTTTAATTATTACTAAGGTTATTTTAAGTAGAAAAAATACAAACATTTTCATTTAACTTCTCTAGATTATTTATATGCAATAAAGGGTTAATAATTTTTAATTTCTTCACTTTCATTCAATTTAAATAACCCATCAAAATATATATTTGTCAATGAAACATGTATTAAAAAATTTTAATTCACACTCAAAATGGCAGTCGTAAAAAATAGACAGAAACCTCAGATTAGTAAAATTAAGGACCTTTTGCAGATACGGGCTAATTAAGGACCAAAAAACATTAAAAAAACCTGAGCCTTTTAAGGATTGTACGAACTCTGTAAAATCATACGATTCATTATTAATAAGATTTCTTTATAGCCTCATCAATTTTTCTGTCGTAATTCAAATCTCCACAGCGAACATAGAGCAACACCAATCAAAAAATCTACGCCTATCACAGGAACCAAAAAAGAATAGGAATGCAATGAATAATTTATATGGTACTGCAATTAAAAATGTCAACTAAAACATACAGAGGCTGATTGCACATTTTAAACAACTTTGCTTTGCTTTAAAAAAACTGCCTGCTTGGAAAATGTTTTTAATAGTAGCTATATTTTTGAAAGTGTAAATTATCGTCTGCTATTTGACAATTTTGTTTTCATGTTAGAGAAGCAATGGAAGGTTGCATTTGTGCTCTTTCCAAAGAAAATTTTTCATATTTAGTCATAAAAAAATGTTGTGAAAGTCATGATTTTTCGGTGGCATCTAAAGCAATGATAGATAAAATTGTTAATAAGAAATGAAAAAAGCCAAAGTCTGGCTTGTTCAAATTACATATTCAAGGAAAAAAATGGAATGTTTTAAAGGTTTAATGTTAAAAAAGAAAACCTTCAGAGCAGTGGCGGCTCGTAGCTAAAATTAGTGGGGGTGCTGTTCCAAAAAAATTTAACCTTTAAAATTGTCTAAAGGGAAATAAATATGTATAAAAAAAATTATTTTGAAACTTCATGAAATCTTACAAGAACAAAATTAAACATTTCTTAATTACTTTAACCTAAATTGGTACAGTTCAATCTTTGTCTATTCATTTAAAAATGAAATCCATTCTTCTTGTTTTAATTTGCATGAAAAGATCAATAATTTTCTCCTTGATCTCTGGATGACAACTGAGGAGATCTTTCTTTATTGAAATCAATGCAAGCACATTTAGTCTTTCCGAATTCCCAGTGCTTCTTGGAAAAGTTTTCATTCTTTTAAATGTTGAAAAGCATGGTTCTGCCTCTGATGTAGTCATGGGAACTCTCAAGAGAATTTTTATCTGTTTCGTAATTTCACTAAGAACATCATCTAGATTATTTTCGAAGATAAATTTTAGTAGCTCAATTAATTTGCAGTATTCATGGATATCAGACCGACAATAGAATACTTTTAGTTCAGTTTCAAGCTTTTCTTTGTCAATCATTAAATATGCTTCAGTGGTCAGTACTATTTCTTCTGTAGAATGTTCATTCCTAAAACTAGCGAAGCATTTCTTATTTAACAATTTAGCAGCTGCTAAGTGTTTAGTGGAAGAATATTTGTGCATTATATCAATACATAGTATAAAATCACATATTTCCTTAGCTTCTGCCATCAGTGTCTTTGAAAAATCATCTTACAGTAGAGTTTCTTAATTCTAAAGTAGCATTTTGAAATTTGTTATCTATTTGTTAACTTTAAACACACTAATTTCTCTGGATTGCATTTAGTTTGTATATTATTTCAACAGGAGGCATCTGATAAAAAAGCTCTAACCAAAACTTGAAATTATCATCATATAGGTTTTTTTTTTAAAAAATTCCTGTTGCTTTTGCAATAGTTTGATCTGCATTTGACATTGATTGAATTTCAGTAAGAATTTTTTAAAGGTTGCAAATTTTCATGAACTCTGTTTATGGCCCGTATGATGAAGTTCCACCTTGTGGAGGAATACCACACACGTACGAGAGTAAAAAGAAATCACGGTTCCAACAGCATGCCAGAATTCCGGCACTGCAAGAGCGACAGTGCTCTTCTTGCTACCGGCTCGCGTGCTGTTTTCTGTGCGCGCATGCGCAGAACAGCCAAACACCACGTCACTGGAACTGTGAAGCGTGCAGTTCCAAAGAAAGAATTTCGTACTTTTTTCACAAAGTAGTGGATGGCAACTGACATTAAGCTTAAGGATTATGTATTATAAAAGTATAAAGAAAGAATTAAAGACTAAAGGGCACACTATATTAAATAGTAAAAATAATAATAAGTGGAAATAGGGGGTGCTGCAGTTCCACAGTGCTTATTACGAGCCGCCACTGCTTCAGAGTCAAAGGACAGTTGCATGATCACTAAAATGCTAAGTGTCAACTGTATACACAGTCATTAAAGCTGATATGAATCTTGAAAAAACGTAATGTGCATTGTCTTCTTCCATGACATGTTGCTGAAAGCAGAACGTGCTGCAGAATTCTTTATGAGAAATAATTATTCAGACAAAAATGGAAAAATGTCGTCACAATAGATGAATCTTAGATATATTTAAATGACCACAATAGAAGCACATCCATTTATAATTATTAAGAAGAAAAATCTTAGAATATTGTTCAAAGAATATAAAAAACGTTTTTCAAAGCAATTTATGATTGTTGCTGGCTTTTGATATAACAACAAATAAAAATTAAGCAGAGAGCAGAAAACTCTTAAGGTCAACTCCACATATTATCAGGAACATATTTTCAAATATGAAATACCTTCTCTTTACCCACAGTGCCATCAATTAGTAGAACTGCATTTAAACAAAGCAAGCAGCTGCATGTCAAAATCCACTGTTAATTTCCTGGAAGAAATGGAACAAGAAACGTGTATTAAGGCCATACCCTTCACTCATATCCCCTACTAAATCTCTTGATGTATCATCCACAGACTTTTAAAAAGCAGACTGTTGTATGAACAGACTGTCCTATCAACTTACAATCCTCATTGGACTTTGGAATGCTGTTCAAGAGGAATGGGATAAAATACCTCTTCCGCTACTAAAAAAAAAAAAAAAAAAGAAAAGCTTCATTGTCTAAGATATTATAATGTGGGGTTATCAAAAGAAACATTTAAGTATATGACAGATCATGTTGAAGACAACTCCCAGATCATAATTACCATATCTCATAAAAACAGCTTTGTAATACAAATAGAAATGTAGCACAAGACTATTTGTTTAAGTGCATAAAATGCCTTTTTTTTTTTTTTTTGATAAACTAGATATGCAAGCTCATAGTCACCTTTATTTGATTATCCATGGCAGGTTAGGAAGCAGTGATCATAACAGATAATAATTATCGATATTCTCAGAAATACTGCTTTCTTCAGAAGTGCACCCCATTAATTACTATATTTTTTTCACTGTTTGAAAAATTCATGGAGGTAGGAAGTACGAAGGAGAGGCCTTAACCGGTTTTCCCCATACACTTGCTTTAAAGCACTGGCGATCCCTTCGTGGTGACCAAAACATTCAGTCACTTACAATCAAGATCAATGGTGTTTGACACGATCGGATGCAAATAATTTGAAATTATGTCGTAAATATACATGTAAATGTTACCTATTTTCTTTTCTACAATATTTCAGAGTCCTAATGCTGTTATCACATCTATAGACGCGCGCGCTTACCTGGGACAATTCCGAGAAACGAGATTCTAGTAGCACGGCTTTAAGCGCAGGCTTCCGAGAAATGTTTCGTCTAGCTAGGAGGAACGTGTCTCGGCTACGAGCAACATTTTAAAACTTTTCCCAAAATGTTCCGGCTGGAGACGTGTTCCTCAAACGTTCAACCAATCAGACGAAAGGTCAGCTTCTGAAGGATCATGGGTAACTTTCAATATGGCGATGACTCTCACCGTGAAGTGATGGACGGTGGAAATAGAGGCCGATTTAATTATTGCTGTATTGTTGTAATACAACTGCCCGAGTCATTTTTTAAATGTGTATATATTCATTAAATATATAATCGTGGAAATTTCAGAGTTGACACTATTTTACAACGTTCTTGCATTTCGTATTTGTTTACAAATTGTTCGTAGCCAAAAGTTTGCCAAATTTGTCTTATTTCGTGCTGATCGTGTATTATAACACTGTTATATAATAGAATTTTATTTCTTAAATTTAAATTGAATAATTTTTTAAAATCCTTTTGTATATGCGCGCTTTTCTCCTAATTACTTATCTTCTAAATTGTTAACTGCACAATCAGTGACACATTTTAAACAGCATAAAAGATGCATAAAAAAAGAAAAGCATAGCTTATGTAATAATGAGAATACTCATTAAATTTGTCTATTATTTTCATGTTATTAATGAAATACTTTTTGAATTATAAATACATTAGAAACTATACTTTTATTGTAAATGCTACATATTGAAACATTGGAAATTTATGGATTTATTATTATGCATGATGAAAAACATTTGTATATACATTCATTAATATAAATCTTATTCATTACATTAATACTAATAAAATATATTAATAATCTTCTAAAAAACATCACATCTCTCTATCTGTATGTAAATATATGACTTATTAGATGTGTATATATATATGTATGTATGAATACAAAAATGAACATTGCCAAGAAGTTTATTTGAAGTTACTTTTAATTCAGATAACGATTATGTAATTGGCAGCAACTATAGTATATGTAACTGCAAATTATTATGGGTATGTAATAATCAGTTGAAAAATAATTGATGAGTATTTGAGTACTAAAGAGTGTACACATTTTGTTATTGGGTTAAATCATAATTACATCTTACATATGATCTACGTAATAAAAACATGACTAATAAATAATAAGAAATGTAACAGCTGTGCATTTATAACATTTGATTACTTAAAACAATTATCACCTTCATGTCTGTTTACAGAATGAATTGCACTTTCCAATTAAGTGCACGGGCCTACTAATGGCTGAAGCATCGTTGAACACTGGTAGTTCTGTCTCAGGTTAGAATGCCGCGAACGGGCTGGCTACATGACGTTTCCTTGGTTTGCCCCATTTGTAACTGGTATACGAGCCAGTTTTAAAAAATCTTCTACAAAGGGATCCCTCCTGTTGTTATTCCTCGAGGCTTTGCGGTAATCACATAAAATAAACTGAGTCCACCAGCGGCCGAGCGGTAAAGTCGCTGAACACTGGTAGTTCGGTCCGAATCCCGCGAACGGGTTGGCTGCATGGATGCTTTCGTGGTTTTCCCAATGTGTAACGTGTATACGAGCCAGTTCCTTAGAAAGTCCTCCCCGAAGGCATCCCTTCCCTTAGGCAGATAGCCCTAGTTTGCTTTGCTGTAATCTCAATAAACCAAACCATAAAACAAACTCATGATGTGAACACCTAATTTCTAGAGTTGGTATAATTAATGTGTTTTAGGTATATTACCGAGTGTTCTATGGGACAGTAAACAACTCGCACGTTTTGATTGCTCGTGTATTCATATGCTTTATTTGATCTTTTTTGCTAAATAGTATCTGCTGGCTGTGAGGAGGTAAATATCAGTTATATAGATTTTTGTCATTTGAATGGACAGATCAGTAATTATGAGCCATAAAGTTAGTCAGAAAATGCTTTCACCAGGTCACAAATTTTCCAGTGAGCCATCAAATTTTCATTGAAATGCAGACAACAGAAAATACACATAAGCGATGTGCATGATAAATAGACTTATCCAGCACACGTTTTTAAACTATTCTTAAGTGTATACAGAATTTGGCTATTACTGATGTAATTGATTGCTATAACCAGAAGTGTGTTTTATCTGTTACATGAAGTGCCAGAGTGGAGATCAAAGTGATTAACTTGATAGCAATCACCTTTCTAATATCTTCCATTACTAACAATAAAGTTTAAAACGAAAAGCGTGTGAGCGATACAAAACAACACGAAGAAGCGAGTGTCACTTGAAAGGAAACGTCACTTTCGCCAATCTGAGCGATAACTGATTCTTGTTTGGCTTTCAGCCTGTTTGCCAAGTGAAGATGGTAACCCTATTTCGCCAAAGGCCGTTTCTCAGAACTGTTGCTACAAACGTTATGTCCCGGCAACAGCTAATGTGATAACGCTTTAAGTATGTGAAAAATATACATTTTTAAACAACATTTCCTTCTGAATGGAATTAAATGCTGTACTTTTCGCAGAACAGTTTAATTTGAATGAAATATTTTCACAAGTTTTTGTTAATTACATTAGAGGGGAATTTTAAGGTAATTCGATTTTATTTGGTTAAGGATTGATTACAAAAAACTAAGTTTAAAGTTTATTATATTAGTAATATTAAAATTATGCATTTAGTTTCTATTTATACAGCTTTTTCCTAAAATATTTTCTAGCTCCAGAGGCATTTTTAAAATCGAAAAATGTAAGCCAATTTATAATTAATGCTCTATTTAGTCCATTTCAAATTAGAGCACCTTTTATTTTAACAGTAAAATATGTTAAATATTGCTGCTCATTTCCATGTACTTAAATTTCTTTGAATATTTCCGAAAAGTTGGGAAAAAAAAAGGATTTTTTTAATATTATTTAAAACTTTTAACTGAGTTATTATAAAATGTAAGGGAATAATTCTTTTAATTATACTTATTAGATTTTTTTTACACTTAGGCTGCATAAAGGGCATAGAGGCATAAAATACGGGAGTTCCGTTCACATCTGTGAGAATGGCGCGTAAGCCATGGCCAATGAGAGAAGCTAAATTTCTACCACCTTTTAATAAGGGCGCTACTGATGAGTCATTAGGTTTTTTTAAAGCAGGAACATGAAAAATGAGCAACACTCTCGCTGGGACTTGAACCTGGAACTCTCGAATATGCATAAAGGGTGCTATTGTTACACAATGAAAGAATACTAGAAGGAGGGAGAAAAATCTTATATGTGAAAACAATTATAATAAACAAAGTAGATTTTAAAATAATTAAAATATCATATGCATTTTCTATGTCTTGTGTTATATTTGAAAGTCTACAAGGGATTTAAAAAAAAAAAAAAAAAAAAAAAAAAAAAAAAAAACAAGAATCGTAATTACAGAAATTTGCTTTTAATCACAATACAAGAAATATTTTACAAATTTCCCAAAGGAATGATTAAAACCTGTACAAAAGAAGAAAACAATGCTGAAATTTTTCATAGTGAAGCCAATGTATTTAAAACCCTCAGTAAAAAGGTTAACATTAAAAGGAAAACCCTCCATTAGGAGCTGGATTGACTGCATTAAAATCATAGGAACCAGAATCTGCAACTTGAGGAGCAAGGTCTTGAAGTTCTTCTTCCTAAAAATATGAATTTTACATTACTATTTTGTCAATATACTATAAAGTTAGACCTAAAAAAATACAGTGCTGGCCATTAAACCTTTGACGAGCGGTGGTCGCACCCTGAAACCATCAATTTTCAAATTTCCCCTCCCCCGCTTCTTTCCGAAATTATTGAGTGAAAACCGATTGATTACTCATCTTTGACCTATAAATAACACAAAATGACTGCAGAACCATACATTTTTTAGGTCGTAGGAGTTCAAATCGGATGACTTTTAAAATCTGTTTTTAATGAGACGAAATAACCTCCTTTTATTAAAATTTATTCCTTTTTTATTTCTATCATAAATTCGTTTAAGTTTTGAAGACACATTAAAATTACCCAGAAAATGGATCAAAGAGGCTTGGCTACATTCATCTTTCAAACAGCTTGAAAACAAAGCTTCTGAATGTTGGCGACGTTGAAGTTCATTTTCCTCCCTTTCTTCCAACAGGTGGCATATTTGTAAAGCAGCTAAATTCCTAAAGTGTTTATGCATTTAAAGCTCTGCCAATTACATTTTTGATTATTAAATTTGAGTCATTGTCTTCGAGGTGATGGTTCAATTCATTGAATTTGTTTAGCAAATGTGTCAGATAATGTATATATTTGATTTTATCAAGGCTTCTATTACAGCAGCAGCTTTATATTCCAAAACATCTACGACTAGAAAAAGCGTAAAAAATGCTCAGCAGATTCTATTTGATAGCCAATGCACTTCTTTATGGAGAAGCAGGTAACTGAAATTTTCAGTTCTCACACAGATTTTTTTCACTTTGTCACTGAAAGAATTACGTTTGATTTAAAATTAGGCTAAGAGTTTTGGCTTGGTAAGAGTGCACTGAATTTTTTCAAAACAATGATAAAAATAAGAAACATATAAATAGATTTAAAAAAGATAACAAAAAATGTTTTTAGAAGGGAAGAGCAATAACCATTTTATATCGAAAGCAATGGGCGGAATAAGAAAAAATTAACATAGTGCTATTTGTTGTCGAACACAACAATGAAAAACAATGCATACTAATAAACTATGATTCTGATATTACACTCACACCGTTACCCTACTTTCTCATGGATAAGTGAATAAAATCTAAAATACGTATTAATCATTGTACAAATAGACAGTCAGCAAGTGTTTAAAGGTCAATTAGGGTTCGTAGCCACATTTTTTAGTTAAAAAAATAAGCACCTATAAGTACTTTTCAAGCACATTTTAAGAAAAAAAATAAGCACCTGTCTAATTACATTATATACAACTGCATAACCTTAAAAGAAAAATTAGACTTGCAATTTAAAATATGAGCAATGCAATATTTATTAAGAGAATAAACCATTACCTCAACCATGGAAAACAATTAACTTTTCTTTTCTTTTCTTTTTTTTTTACAGAATTAGTTTACAATGAGAGGAAAAAAAAACTATGCAGAACTAAACTATATTACAAGATTTAATGATGAAATTTCAGTTCAAAATATAGAAAAAAAATAATAATAAGCCATATTAATTGTATTTGCTTGGCATCTAATAATAAATACAATTTATTTTTTCCACTCATATTAATATTTAAATAATTTAACTTAAATCAAAATTCTGAACATTTTCTAAATTTTCATTGCATAACAGTTTTCCCTTAACACATATTCCAAGTAAAGTAATTTAAGTAAAAAAGAGGAACATTTCTGAAATCAGGAGACGGGAAATTGCTTCATGCAGTCATCCTTTAACAGTAAAAGCTTAACTAACCCGCATACTCGGAAATTGCCGAATATTCCGTATAGTCAAGCGTAACTGGAAAAAGAGGAGGCGGGAGATTGTAGCGGTTCTTTAGATTTCTCGGCTAAAAAAATGATTTTGACATTTCGATATGCGCATCATATAAAAATAGACCAACGGAACTGAGAAATATTCTGCTTAGAAAGCACAGTAAAACTCTTTTAAGTGTTCATAAATAAATCTCAGACTGAACATCAAAATTAATTATCTCTGCAAAATACCTCAAACGTTATCGCGCAATACGTGCGGCGTAATTCTTTCATATGTGATATTACGCAATCGGAATCAACAGCTGCCGGTATTTGGAGAATAAAGAACTAAATAAAGGAAAAGAAAGAGACTTACTAATCTGGGGTGTTTTTTATTCTAATTTTGAACAGACTGCGTTAAATTTCCGGAATAGAATCATTCTTCGCTTTGGTTGGGTAGACCACAAAACTTTTAGTCCTATTCAATACTGATTGGACAGTGACAAAAAAAAAAAAAAAAAAAAAAAAAAAAAAAAGCCGTTCCGAATATTATTCCTTAGAAAGCTAATCTGTGTAAAAATACACCCATTTTTGGAAGTTTATCTACACTTCAGCAGCTACTGCAACTATATTATAAATATTCATACATATGCTCATAATATAAGCATAACGATCATAATAAACACGAATATGAACTGACCACGCTGAACGAGAATGCAAATTATTAAAATCTTGATAGAAATTCAAACGTGTGTAGTATTTGGGTGGGAGGAAAAGAATACCGAATCTACCGGAATTTTCTACTGTTTTCGCAATTCTTGGACCAACAGAACGACGTGCACCTGTCTGTACTCTCGTGCGCACCATAGGTTACGTTAATGCAGAGAAAGGGGGAAAAGCTATTTCCGGGAGTATGATTCACCATTCGATGTTCCATATAAGAAAGAAAAGTTGTTTATTTAGTTTCGGCTTTGGTACAGAGAAAAATGCACGTTCATAATATAATAATAATAATAATAATAATAATAATAATAAAAAAAAAAGCACTAAAAACCAACAAATAAGGGCTTTAAAGAAAAAGTAAGCACCTATAAGGGCCTTTATATTTTATTTTCAAATATAAGGACTTATAAGCACTTGTAAAGACCGCTACGAACCCTGTCGATACCAACACTAAACTTCCACGTCAAAAAAATTAAATACAACTTCTGTTGGTAACATTTATAAATATACTCTCTACATAAAATGTACAATTTTTTTAATAGTTTCTTAAACCTTCTTATAGAATCAACTTTCATGTCATCAAATTTAATTGTAAAGACCTCCAACTTTTAGGATGTATTAATTATAAATGGCAACATGACAATGCAGTAAATGAAAATATTATCTCTTTCTTTTCCTGCAGAATTTCTTCTGTACCAGAAGATAAACAATTGAATGTTTTGTAACAGTTAATATGATGTCTGAGCAAGATGACTTAGCTGAATCGGTATCCTGGAAGGCCATCGGTCATTTAGAGGCAAGTCAAATGCAGCGCATTGTAGCAGAAACATTAGGCCATTTTCTTGCAACAGCACTTTCAGAGGGTGACTAGTACCAGAGTTTGAATCCAACTATTAAAAATCGACTCCACCATGTGGGTTTGAATGCTCACAGACCTATGGTTTGTGTTTCGTTGAAACAGGACCACCATGCTCCTGCAGAAGGTGAGCACAGGAGCATCCCAGATAGGGACAAGATGAGTGGAGCAACATGCTTTTGACAGATAAGCCCCGCTTTAGTATACAACCTGACAATACGAAGATTCTCTTCTGGAGAGAATCCAGAACATGGAATACTTCTGTATTTGTGCATGAAAGTGTTTGTTTTGGTGGAGGTGGAGTGATGGTCTGGTCGATATTTCTATCAATGGCCACAATGACCTGAAAATTATCAGGAATGGAGCACTCATGGATCAGCAATATAGGGCTGAGATCCTCAGACCAATTGTGAGACTTTGTGCTACAGCAGTCGAGGATGAATTCAATCTCATGGATGGCAATACCAGACCTCATCATGCTTGGCTAGAGGACAATTTCCTCTTCAACAAAAAGAATCCTTCGAATGGATTGGCTAGCATTTTCCCCGGATATGAATCCAATATAACATGTTTAAAAAGCATTCTGAAGAGAAGGGTTACTAGCCACTTATCACCCTCAGAAGTAAATCAGCAGACTTCTACAGGAGTGGGAGAAAACATCCCAATCCTCATTGATTGCATGCCTTATAGGTGTGTGACATTGTTTTCTGTCAAAACAAAAAATACCCCTTATTGAAATTAATTTGCATCCGAGAAATCACACTTTTTGTTTGTATAATATGCACAAATTGGGTTCCTTCAGGTATCGTCAATAAAGTTTAAATTTGCCTTCATTGTTATTTCTTTTTCCTTTTTCATATCTTATAACACCTTTACATCATATATATCAATCACCAAAATATTTCCTCATTCACAGTTTATATCCAAAATCCTAATATCCACTAACTGTTTTGAGCAGGGTACATGCAGAACCAATGTTTTTCAATTTAAACTTCTGCCTAGCACTGTCGACTGTTGTCAACAACCATCTAACAGAATCAGGTGATAAATCGAGGTAAAAGACAGATCTTGATGCCTGCAGATAGCAACTGTGAATGTGTTTATGGAAGGTAAGCAGAGGAACATTTTTGAATACTGCCTCATAATTTTTTTTATTATTTCAATTACTATATTCTAAATATTTTTTCACTGCCCACTGACTGAGGCACCCTCAGTATCACTTGGAATTTTAATTACCCCCTTAGACAACTTCTGTTCCCTCCGGGAGGGGGGATTCATTTTCAAAATTTTTGCTCTAAAGTCTAGCAGATTTTTTTTTGGCCAAAGATCTTATAGTACTCCATGACTGACCAAAATGAATTTTCACAGTTTACAATAAGGAATTTTTTAGGTTATGACAAAAAAAAAAAACTGATTACTAACATTGAGTAACCAATAAACTGATATTCAAGAAAGAACTTATTTTCATTGTACATATTACAGTAAGTTGATTCACTGAGTTCCAATTTTTCTAATCCATATTCAAATAATACAGATGCTTATACTCAAAATTTCAACAGCAACAACTGAACAATTTTTTTTTAGTTCTGTACAATTTCTCACTTTGTTAACTGCCAATGCCTAGAACTATATGGACAGATGATTTACATATGTTTGTACCTTTTAAGCACAGTACACACAAAAACAAATGATAGTTTTAAATAATTTTGCTTATTAATTCACCAGCCTGATGGTTATAAGAACTATAGAATAACAAACATGATAACTAGTACTTCTGGGAAATAAAGAACAAATTTATCAGATAAAGTATTAAATGTAACATGCCTCTCAATAAACATTGGCTCAGCTTTAAATTTTCACAAAGCAAATATGGCAAGGGAAGCTGATAGATCAATTCAGTAGCGTAACAGACTAATTTGTCAGAGACAGCTGTCAAAGGCTCTCTCCCAAACTTGAAAACAAAAGTCTTCTACTGATACTGTCTGTATACGAGAACAGCAGCTCCCACCACCGGTCGGTATAGAAACAGGGCCATTCTATTTCAAATAGAGGCGAACCAAGGATTGCTTTATTGTATTTTGTTTTGGGAGACTGTTGGCTGAGGTGAAAAAACGAGTTCAAAACCCCCCTACGGAAAATAGGTCAAATCTCGTTTCTACGGCAACAGACAATTGCAGACTAACTGGCGAGAGCTTTTCTTATGATAGACAGACAGTATTTAGCACTTACTTCCTTTAACCAGTTGCCCTAGGACCCTTCACAAGATTTTAGAGATATGAAAAGGTAATTTGAATCAATTTAAGTAAAGATTTGCACTGTTGCCTATAGACCTATTAAAAAGTCTGAAAAATATTTTGAAACAAAAATAGGGTTTGTATCACCATCAAGTACATAGGAGAAAAACATTATAAGCAATCATCTTCCCAGGCAGAGACTCCTATACTCTTCCAAATTCAAGAACCCTGCACCTACATATATTTATTCAGATTCTGATGAGAGTTGACGCAGAAGTGATAGTATGAGCAAAATAATAAGCGTGCAAATTTACATGATTATTAGTTATAGATCAGTTCTATTTTCTGAAAAAGCAAGTTACTGCTTGAACCTCTATAACTTAAGAATTCACTTTTAAAATAGTTTTGGGAAGAAGACAAAAGAATGATAAATGCAAAGAGGTCTATAGTTAGAATAATCAGTAATGTTGGCTGAGGTAATGACGACATAATTAGTAAATATCCTAACTTACAGATATAAGGTTTTGATATTCATTCTTTGCATTTCCTTTTCCCAACACTCTATTCAAATCTATAATCAGTACTTATATTGCTGGGAATTAAAACTTTCAATACCAGGAAAAATCCAGTAGCAGGAGCCTCCAAAGTCTAAAGGAATCCCTGTTATGCATAACTTATTACACACTGAAATTCAGGTTAATGATCAATATATACCAGTTGGAGTGATAAAAATCTTAGAATAGAAAGAAATATCGGTACATACTTTTCTGATTTAATATTCGACCTTGCTTAAGATAATTACTCAGAAGGACAGCTTCTGATTTATCACAGCATCTTGCAGGTAAATATAATATGAGTTATTGGGGATATTGATTAAAGTAACTCCAACTTCTTCAGTAAGTGATGAAAAGTAAAAATTCAGCTTTTTTTTTTTATTATTATTATTTTATTCCAGGAGAAAGAAAGAGGAAAAAAATTGCTGGAATTGGACCATAACTTCTCTCAATATGTAAATGATGTAAGAGATTCAGAATATAGTCAGATATTATGGAAAAACAATTTTCGAAATTTTTTAAATGTACCAAATATTTCTTACAAGAATTTGACATTTCACATAGGCAAAGATTCATGTTGTTTTAGTGTTAATAATTGCTTTTGTTGACTTCTAGATAGCAAGCAACTGTGCAATTGATATACATGACACAAAATGTATTAATATTGTTGCAAACTGTCCAATTGTATCTGTGCCTCACTTCGAAAAGTAGTTCCAGAGACTGTTAAGAAAGTTCTCTCAAACCATGAAACTTGCAACCCTACTGATTGCATATAATTTTCTAATCACATGTATAAACTATATGTGGAAAGAACTGTCTTTGGATATCCACTGCACAAAATTAATAGACTAAGTAAACATAATATTAAATGCATAAAATAAAATACAGAAGAATTTTGAAAGAATTCTATAACTGGCCCCTCCACCTTGGAGGAAAGCAACATTCCTTTAAAGAATGATAGTTAGAAATCTAATCATTAGGGATATTAATTTAGAAGTCAAACAAACAAAAATCAGAGTTATATTTTGCGTTATTTCAATATTTTGCATTCAAAAATCAGCGTTATATTTTGTTGTTTGACTTCTAAATTAATATTTGTTGGGTGTGTTATTGTATTTTAATTAGGGATATATTAATGGACAATTTGAGTTGCTGGCCAAATATGACACTGTGTTGAATGAGCTTAATCAACGAGCAACAAAATCTTAGAATGACTATATACACCTTAGTACGGACACTCAAACTTAATTACAGTAGTTTTTAATGAAATTACTTTTGTTGAAAGAAAAGATGTAATCAGACTAAGCATTATTTAATTATTAATATTACTTACAAGATATAGGTTACAAAGAATAGGTTTTCATGAATGCACACATTAGTAGCACAACGGATGTACAATGATTTATATTCCAAAAATTGTACAAGCTGTAGTTATTGATTCGTACATCATAATTATTTGTACAAAACGTTGCTTCTTTAGTAGTTGTTTCTATCATAATATTTTTCTTTTAACAGCCAGCAGTATAATTATATGTATTTTTACTTTCTTATGATATGAAAAAATTAATATAGGAGCATAAATTCTTTAAAATAATAATGAAAAAGTTCAGTTTCTTATACTTAATATTTAAAATGTTTTAAAGACTTGAAAATGAGTAGTCTAAAATATCTTATTTAATCTTTATCCCAAAGAACAATTATGTGCAACTTGTTATTCAATCTGTGATTAACATAGAATGACCTTTATTGTTGATTACAAATTTATTATGTCTCAATTTGCTAAAATGCTATGTAACATATCATATAAAACATGATTTCAGAATGAATAATATGCTTAAAACTGCTTTATATTTTCTATATCATGCAAAGGGGAAAAAAGTGTTTTCGAAGTGACTAAATAATTAATTAAATCAAATTTTTAAGTTTCAACAAATCCAAAATAAACTTACATCATTTGAGAAATAGGCATCAATAATACCAAAAGCACATCTATACACTTCACTATTTTCATGATGTTGAAGGTTCTCTATTTTGTCAAGACCACCACATTCTTCAATGTAACTACAAACAGCTTCAACAGCATTCATTTTGGCAGAAGCCTACGGGGGAAAAAAATAATATTCAAATACAATTCAGAAGCCATTTAAGTAGAATTCAAGAACTCGATACTATTCAGAAAATATTATCTCAAAACTACATACGTGGAGGATATTTGAAAGGGCATCCAAAACTACAGTTAGAATTTTAGGATCTCTTAATAACAGCAAGGAACAAAGAGGATCAAGTATGCCAAGGCGAAGCAAAAATACAATCTGGTCAAAGCTTCCTCCAGATGTAAAATTATTCACAGCCCAAATAGCTTCTTTTTGACACTTATAATCTCCCTAAAAATAAAATGTGCATGATGATCAAAACAAATACTGTATACAGATCTATCAAATAATAACTGCTAAAATATTTTCATTTGTCTCATTAATCAAAAAATTCATTGCACAATCAAACAGTCAAAGTATCATTTGCTACATATTACATGTAATAATTTTGTTGATACTGAAGATTAGAAAGTACCATTAAAACCGTGTTAATATTTTTGAATATTTATACCTATTTCACATATTTATTTACAAGTGTAATAAAATTTCATACCGTTACTGGATTACTCAAATCATCGCTGCTCTTTAAAGTACATAAAAGATGACTTCATTTCTTAATTCACACATTCAATTAAATATTGTTTAGTAGAATAAATACAATGCCTTTTAATAAATAGTTCCAATAAACATTACTTTTCATGAATATGCAAGGCACCTGGAAAAAATCTGGCAAAAGCAGATTGAGGAAAGTGAAAAAAGCAAATTTCATAACAGAATGTATGAACTAAAATGGCACCATGAAGTTGAAATTAGTTTGAACTTTGAAATAAAAAATATTATTATATTTCTCATTATTATCAAATTTCTTACATTAACATAATTCAAGAACAGTTCTATTGATTCACTATTAATCTTAAAGTTTTTACCTCAATCAATACATCAATAATTTGTGACATAAGTCCTGCATCAATTACTGCCTGTATTTGTCTCGAATTTCCAGCTGTAATATTAGATATTGCCCAACAAGTTTCCTGTAAAAAAAAATAATAATAATTCAAGCAGATGCTAAAAATCAATTAAAAAATAATTCATTAAAAATAAAATTTTCGTTTATTAAGCACAGGATAATGAACTACATATTTATAAAATAATCAACTTTTTTTTAATTCTAATACATTCTTGCTAAAAAATAGCCAGAAAAGGCAAAACACAGAGTTAAACAAAAACTATTTAACAGATATGTGTGAAACTAATCCAAGAGGTCGGTGTGGCATTACTAGGCCACATAACAAACAATAAGGCAAAGATATACCAAAAATACATATATTATGAGCATCATATCATGAAAGACCAAATGGGTCGAAAGAATGTATAACGGAAATATCATGCTGATAATGAGTATGATACCCTCTAGCTGAAATGCATGTTTGACAATGCCGAGTCAAGCTGGCAATAGTGTTGGTGAGGCAATAGCACCCATTCCTGCAGTAATGCTTGTCGCAGCTCATGGAGAGTGTCTGGCAGCACGCACAAACACTTGTTTTCTGTTGTCCCACATATGCTCTATGGGATTCAGGTCCCTGTGATCTAGCAGGAAACGGCAGATGTGGACAGGTTTCACTCTTTAGATAACTTCACAACATTACAGCTCTATATGGGCAGGAATTATCATCCATAAATATTACGGCGGTACTCATTGCAGCATAAAAGGACACACAAAGAAGGTGTAGAATTTTGTTATGATACCGGACGGGTGCGATGGAATCACCAGAAATCCTTTAGAGACCAGTGCAGGCGTTTCTTGCTATACCAGCCCATACATGTAAGCCTGCTCCTCTGTACTGGTTTCTTTCGACAACTGATAGCATGTTTCTAGTTCTCACCATATCATTGCCATTTCTGAATCGCTCTGGATGTTAAATCGAGACCCATCCATAAAGGTATGTTGTCCCACTGCTGTGGTATCCAACTGCGATGTTAATGGACCCAATTCAATCACATTTTGACATATGATGGGGAAAAGAGAATACAAACCACAAATTACCTGATGTACAACCTATCTTCACGTAGTTGATGCTATACAGTTTGGTGGGGTATGGGCCATCCTGCAGTACCTGAGATGCAATGTCAGCTATTATGGCACATATCAACAGCACACCTGTTGCTGTAATTCTCCACCATCCAGACCGATGTTTTCTACAGGGGTTTTGATTCCTTTCGTAATCATTCCACAGCCTATTGATAACACTACAGTGCACATTCAGCTCTATGCAACAGTGGGTTTTCTTACACCAGCTTGCAACATTCCAATGCATTTTATCTCGGAAATGGTGTCTTCAGATCACGTATTCCACTTTGGCCTCCTTTTAAGGCAATGCGGTGCGACTGTGGGATTGCATTTTCTGCTAATTTTGGTTGCCTATCTGCATTTGGCAATGCAACCTCTACCTCATATGTAAATTATATGTTCTAATTCCCTTTTTACATCCATATTTTTTCTTTTAGTATCTGTTGCACATTTTTTTTAGCACACGTGTATTTATTTAGTATTATAAACGCTAAATAATTTGTTGTAGACATTATTCTAATAATGGCCGCAAAGGAAACTTGCATTAAAAATATTACATAACACATCTATATACTAGATAGTAATAAAATAACTTCATAAATAGACTCCTGATAATTATACAATAAGCTGAATGAAACTCAAGAAGTGATACTGCATTAAAGAATGATGTAAATAACAACACAGCTCAAGGCTTTAGTTCCAGTAATCAATTTTTTTTAATTAAATGGCAATGTCAACTTTTTAGTTTAATTATTGTTTGGCCCTTCCTCCCCCAAAAAAAAGGGAGGCACTGGACCAATATCTACAATTCAAAAGCAACAGAGTGAGATAACAAGAAAAGGAAGACAAGCAGCCACGTGAAAGCGTACAGTTCTCATCACAACTGTGAATTACACATACAGTGCAAGAAATTACAGAACTAATCCCATTACCCAAATGGCTACTACTGCCTCATAAATACATTATCACTAGTCATCTCACAGGAATGAACTGCAATGACTTGTTACAAACAATGGTAGCCCACTTGGGATGTCATTTTCTACACTGCATGTGCAATCCTCTGATAGTTATGCAAATTACACGCATACACACAACTACCTGTCACCTTTCTTTGTTTTGTCATTCTTATTCCTTTTTACCGGCATTTTTTAGCTGCAGACATTTCAGATATTTTATAGTGCTGAAACACTGCAGAAAAGTGGAGTTGTTATTTGAAATTTACTCGTTGTAACCCTAACTATAAGAGTTTGATTCGTGCTATTGACATTTTCAAACACATATCTCGCATCAAATACCTAATTAGATTACCTAACATCAAATCTAAGCCCAATTCATTGAAACATGCTGTCTTTAAGGGCTAAACACACAGAACATTTATTAAACAACCACCTTGCATACATTAAAAAAAATTGTTCTAGATACATAAACTTCGATGTTACTTCATTTGTTCATGAACATTACTTAATTCTATAAAGCAAAATTAAAAAAAAAAAAAAAAATTAAAACCATTATGATACAGAAACATTAACACAAAAACAATCTAGATTCAATGATCGAGAAAGCAAAGATGTTCCAAAGTCTGCAATATCATTCACGCACAGCAACATCCCATATATCTTTTCAAAAATAAACTGCCGAAAACATTATGAAAAAAAGGTTACAAATAGATTCCATCAATGCTGCTGCATGCTGCCATATTTTATACTTTTATAATTCAAACTGCAAGGTAACATGATACTACAAATATATACTTGCCAGCCTTGAAATAAAAAAAAAAACCTGTAGGTTTACTTTCATGGAACTGGGAGATTTTTGTGCCAATACTATTTCAAAAGAACACCAAACTACTTCAATTCACTTTATAATGCAAGATTCAGATTACTGAAAATATTACTAATATGATTCTGGTGTTTAATATCTAATTCGGGTATCTCAATTATATGCTCTTGGTAATTTTTTCTTACAATTTGCTTACTTAGTACCAAGGGAATTCTGAGTAGGGAAGGAAAATTTTTATTTATCAATATACTTTTAAATACAAAGAAAATAAATTGATGCATATTTTTTTCATGTAAAACAAAATTAAACGTAAATATTAAATGAATAAACACTGAACAGGTTGAATCTTTATAAAACACCCCACAAATGTCTACAGAAGATTAAGACAATTATGATTAGATGAAATTTAATAAGTGTACTTAAAATCATTAGGGGTGGAAAAATAGAATTTGTACAATTTAAGTTTCAGAAATTCAATAGATTTCATTTATTTATGGGAAACATTTCCTTTAAAGAATAAAAATAAGAAACTGGGACATCTGGTGATCCAGTTTCCTATCACATCTGGTGATGTGATAGAAAACTGGAAGTCTCTTAGTTACAGTTGGCAGAGTCAAGAGAGCCGCTTTTTTTTACGGGAGCTTAGCTTGAATTTCATTATGGATTAAATTCTTTAAAACAATGATTTCCTTATATTTATTTTACTATGAAAGCAGAGATACACTATACCACTAAAGATGGTCATAAATGCAAGACAAATACTGCCATCTGAAATTCTAAAAATTTAAATTGTTTAGAATTTCACAATGCAGTATTTATAGAAAACTTACTACTCCCATCAGCAGATATTCATAATGCCAAAGCATTTTTCACTACCAAAGTGAATTCTAAATAGTAGTACACTCATCTTCTATTTTGAGGTTTTAGGAGTTAAGGACCTGTTCATTAACTCTTTCGCATCGAGAGACGACCAAATCTGTTTTCAACAAACATCGAAAACGCCCGTGTTTACGAATTTGTCTTGGAATAGTTTTCCTTTTCCCCTTTCTGCGGTTTCATCAATCCATTCATCCATTGTGTGCAGTTTTCACCTTAGGGCCATATTTGCACCTGCGAACGTCAATAGCTTTCCGTATTTCTTCCTTTATTTGCTTCAAAAAGAATGATTGACATGTCTTTTAAAACAACTCGCGAAACCAATGAGCCATACACTAAACGTGGAGGGGAAAGAACTAGGTAGAAAATAAACGAGGAGTTGGGGCGGTTTGCCATTGCCTGAATGAACGGGCGCTACGGGCGATTTCGATGCGAAAGAGTTAATAGATAATTTTTTTTTAAAACATCTGTGACAAACAAATGATACACGTCAGATATGAAAGAATTCACAGAAATTTTAAGATAACTATTAATAACATGGACCAGCAGCATTTTCTTCCACTTAAATTACAAATTTAGAAACACAAGGGGATAAAAATCATGCAGTGAAAATAATTTAAAACATGCTCTGTTAAAAAAGAACAAGACACCTATCTTCAAAGTTTTAAACCTGAACTTTTTTTTTTCAATCTCAGCTAAGCTGCCAAGCAGTAACTAGAGCACACAGATATTAACTCATCTGACTTGCCTCTAATAAAATATCAGTTAGCTTAAAGAAAAAGACTGAATAGAATTCTTTGTTTTTATTTTAAACAGCCATTAGGGATTTAATGATACAATAGCGAGAAAAATTCTTGGATCAATATAGTTGTCTTCAAACAGGTTACCGCAAACTAAAGTGTAGCTATACTAAAGTGTAGCTATCATCAGCCTAGTATCTGAAGTTATTTTCTATTCCCTCAACCGAAATCTCACCTTAAAAGGTAACATTCTGAGATTTTCTGAAATTCAGAAAATTGTAAATGGATGAAAATATTCTACAAATTATTTCCATAAAACAATACAGAATCACTTAGCATAATAAATGTGCTAAGAGATGTATAGTTGGCAAAACAATGAAGTCTTATTCTTTTAATTTCGACATTTTTTAAATTAAAAAATAAAAATTTTAATTCGTTGTATACAAGATGAAGTCCAAATGATATAATTCACAAACCAAAAAGTAAATTTAATTAAATCTGCGTTCACTTTCCAAAGCAAATGAAAGTTTCTAATCTTAGTATACTTTCAGAATTCAAAATATAAAAACTTACTTTCACAATATTTGTTTTAGTATGTCTCATTAGTAACCTAAGTGGTTCTAAAGCACCAGCATCAATCACTGCTTGAGTTTGGACATCATCACCTGTAACAATATTTCCAACAGCTCGTAAAGCAGGAGTTACTACAGCAACATCTTTCACTTCCAGTAAACTGACTAAGCGTGGTACCACACCACTATTAATGACTTCTCCGATTTTGTCATTGCTTCCATCAGTTAAATATGAAAGAGCCCAACAAGCATCAGTGACAACTTCAAGATCTAACAGAGGAAAAAATTACATGTTACACACTTAATACATGATTATTTTTCTCCATCAATTTAAACATAAGGTAAAACATGCAAGGATTACCTGCCTAAGGGAAGGGATACCTTAGTGGCAGACTTTCTATGTAAAATTTAAGTCCAGTGGTCATAAAAATATAAACCAGAATTTTAATACTTCTGGTGTTTAGATTTTTTTAATGCTAAACACAAAATTTTAGTAGCATACTTTCTTAAACATGGAAAATAAAATGCATACTGCTTGATATATAAAGCCTTAACTCCCCTTTAGTAATGAGTTAAGTGTCTCTTAACTCTCCAAAAGTAATTTTATATCTCTAACTCCGCAGAGTAATTTTATATAGCTTATGAATCTGGCTAAGACAGCCATTCTGCCTTTCTACAAAACAAATAAACTACATATACAATTTGACATTAAAATAAAGCCTAAAGTCTGATCAAGTTCTATTACATTTAATATTCATAAAGCACAAAATATATAAAAACTATTTTTTCCTATGTAAAACTGAATAATAACCAACTTATTTGAAGAAGAAAGTTAGACTGGACTAGATTATTTGAGTATGGCAAATCACTGTGGTCTGCCTAAGAGAAGCAAATCCTTGAAGGAGAACATACTAGATTAAAAAAAAAAAAAAAAAGTCTTATATTTATATCATGCATGGTGAAAAATCACAAAAATGCTCATGCAGCCAATACATGCACTGGGATTCATACCAAGCTTGAGCTATCCCATATACACACTTTGCCACTGCTGGGCTATGAAGTTCTTAATGTTATGAGAAAGGTATTTTCTTGAAATATTATTTAAAATGCTTCTAATAATTTTATATCTGGGATCTTTTTCTTCTAATATACCATCTTAATTTTTATCATAATAATTATTTGGACATGTGCATATACATATATCTAAGGTGTAAGGAGAAGTTATTCGGATATAACAAAACATACAACAGTTATCTATCTAACAGGAGGAATACCTTTGTGGCAGACTTTCTATGGAAAACTGGCTCAATCCATGGTACACATGGGAAAAACCATGAAAACCAGACATACAGTTGGCCTGTTTGCCTGGGATCAAAACCACGTCAAACTCCCAGCATTCAGCTATCTTAACCATCTGCCCTATGATAAGAGAGGTGTAAGGAATGATTCTTGGAGGAAGATATATGGCTTGGCTAGGTTGAAGGTTAAACAGTCTTTAACTTTTTTCCTGCAAGTCAGATTTAAACTATTCATCAAATTCTTTAAACTAAAAAAATGTGTAAGTTTTTTCCATGTATTCCCTAGAATTATTTTGTTTTTAATTATGAACTGCCTCTAGAGAAAGAATTCTACAGTTTGACACAAGATTGAAAGTGTTACATTTCTTTATCTGCTTTGTAATACAGTCAAAAGTCGTTAATTCGGACACCCATAATCCGGACCTAAAAGCTGCAAACTTTCTGCGCATGCGTCGCGTTGACCTTTACGGCTGCGAATATGCGTGTGCGCATGCGCAAAATACGTTTACGCATGCGCGTTTAATGTACAACGGACGGTATAAGCTAAAATTATCTAATTCAGTTAATGTTGCAGATTGCGTTGTTCCTTAATCTTCGAATTGGATCTGGCTTATTATTTTTTTGCAGACTGTTAGAGCAATTTTATAAAAGTAAGCTTGAACTTTCGATTATGTCAAATAGAATTTCCAATATATATTTACTAATATGTAAAGGATCTACAAAGCGAAAGTATGTATCAAAGTCCATTAAACAAAAGTGGAATTGCTGCAAAAAATGTCCTAACCATTCCGAAATCTGTTTATCAATTTCACCCCGCAGCAATGAATTGGGAGTTGATCTATCAGCACTATCCTTATCTTCAGGGCAGATGTTTTCATTTTATTTGGCTTATAATACCTTACTAAATGTAGTATTTCATCTCGATGTATTCCATCTTTGATGTGATTTAAATCAAATTCCTCGTCATAATTTGCTTCCGATAGTGAAGAAAGTGACACAGAGGTTATTGAAAAAGAAAAAATTTCGATTGACAAATTAGTTGGTATTCTCAACACAGCAATTATAGGACTTGAACAGCGGAACTTTGTAACTGAACAGAAATTATGTGTTTATAGAATTAAAGAGAAAGTATTATCACATAAAGCGAAGCAACTTAAACAACTTACATTGAAAGAAATGTTTAATAAAGTAAACAAAAATAATAATTTTTTTTTTTGGTAAATTTTTATACCTTTTAGATCATAATTGTTCTTTATTTCATAAATTACGGTTTCATATTTTTAGTTTTATAATTTCTGCATGCCATCTTACCAGATTTAAACTGATGATCTATAATCTGGAAAAATCGATAATCCGGAATCGCCGAAGTCCCGACGAGTCCGGATTAACGACTTTTGACTGTATATGGTCACATAAAACATTCAATAATGTGATATATAAAATGCTTATCTTACCTGGGTCATTGATAAGACAGGCAAATGCAGGTAAGCATTCCTTAATTGCTTCAAAAGGTGGCGAAGGATTCTTGTTTCGACATATATTGGATAGAGTCCATGTAATGTTACGGCGAAACCCAGTCTAAAAGAATTTAGGGAAATGAGAAATAATATCTTAATACATGTTAAAATTGTAAGTTAATTGTTCCAAAAATACTTACTGGAATATTGGGTTTAAGCAAATTAATTAAGGGTTTAATAACTCCATTTCTTATAACTTCATCTCTAAGGTCTGCGCCATCGCCTAAAAGAAAAATTTAACGTTCAAATTAAAGTTAGAAAAATAATTACAATGTAAATAATTAATTTTGGTTTTACTTAGACATGACAAGTATACTTTAAAAATTGGTTAAAAAAATTAGCTAACAAGAACAGGCTAAAAGTCTCATTTCAAATTAAAGTCCTTACACTGAAATTACATTATTTTACCTTACATAGCACTTTTCAAGAGATCATTATTCCTAAAAATATTTTTATTCAAATAACATTTCACAGACTTTTTTTATTTATATAGCATTTATCCTAATAGCGATAATCATATATATCAAAGTTTACTTTATATTCAGAATCCAATTTTTCGGAATTTTTATGTTCATTATTCTACAAGTTATTGCTGAACCATCACATGTATCTAGGGCTAAAAAATTTTTTCTAGTGAAAACTGCAATATTTTTTTTGAATTTAGCTTTGCACTTTTTTTATATCTATTTTGCCAATTTTCAACGCTGCCATTTAAGATGTGAATGAACAAATAACCAGGATTCACATTATTTTTTTAATTCAATGTTAAATGATTCGTTCAGTGAAATGAGGACAACTGACTAGCCACTATATAGTGTGTGTGTGTGGGGGGGGAAATAACTGTAAAAACAAAAGTCTGAAAGTTTTCAGATTTTATATAATGTCCAAAGGGGCTTTTTTTAACATTTTGAGTGTTACCTTTATTTATTTATTAAATATCATGTTCTTTGCACTTAAACCATAAAATTCAAACAACAATATCACAAAATTTCAAAAGAGCATATCTTTAGGATTTCTGATACACAGTCTAGTGCGCTGGCGATAAAAATGGTTTTTTTCCCCGTATAGTGCTGCCATTACTCGCTTTGAAATTGTTGAGTTTCTTAACCAAAAACTCATAAATGCTTTACAAAATAGGAAATAGATACTAAAACTGATTCCAAATTTGGGCTTCCAGATGAACATGTTCAGGTGGAGACTTACGTTATTCAAAATTTTATGGCTCTAGGTACTGTTGTTCTATCACAATGCGATAATCATACATACATTTATGCAGATTCTTCATTATTTAATTTACTTAAATATAATACAGGGCAATAATATTTGGTGGCAACAATTTGAAAAGCGAAACGCCACAAAATTCCAAAACGAAATTAAAAGCCCTTCAAGGGCTAGCACCTTTTGGGCTAAAAACTAACAAAATTACAATTAATGCCAATTCAAATTATATAATTCAGCATTGCACCATTCCTAAACACATATCATCATTGCCAATGTTGGGTTTTTCTTTTTTGTTACCAATAAAAACAGGATTCCCAAAGTCATATTATAAAAAGTTGTAATTCATAAAATAATACTGCATGTAAGCATCCTAATATTCTAGTTAATTAAATCTAGTATAGGTAAACATTTGACATTCATCCATTATTATATTTATTATTACGATATAACACTATTATATACACCAAAGGGCCATTACGTTATGACCACCCTGTTAACATGTAAGACCACCTTTAGCCTTTAAAATTGCATGCACCCGGTGTGGCATTGACTCCATAAGGTGCTGACAGATAGTCTGAAGTATGTGGTTACCACGTTCTGCAATTCCCGCACGTTGCAAGGCAGCACAAATTCGGTTTTCAGGCGCAACCACAAATGCTCTATTGGATTAACGTCAGGTGAAGTTGGAGGCAAAGACATGACTTAAACGTCGCTGGAATGTTCCTCGAACCACTCCCTGACAATTCGACCCTTATGACTTGGTGTATTATCCTGCTCGTAAACACCACCCCCCCGCCAGAAATATTGTTGTCATGAATGGGTGAACATCGTCTGCACGTAGCACACAAGATCTCAGGGATTTTCTATAGGAATTATGGGTCCCAATGTGCCCCATGAAAACATTGCCCACACCATAATACCACTGCCACTGACTTGTCTCCATCCAACTGTGCATCCAGGAAACAAGGTTTCATTTGGAAATCAGCGTTCGCGCACACCCATTGATGTGATGGAGCAGAAAATGTGATTTATCAGACCATGCAACTTTCTCCCATTCTTCTAATATCCAATTCCGATGTTTCTTGAGCCCATTGTAGATGCAGCTGGCAATGATGTACCATCAGTTCAGGGACATGCTTCAGATATGTTGTAGGTGTTTGGTTATAGTGAAAAATGAATAGCAAACTCTCCTCTGAGATCAATGTACCATCGATGACAAATTGCAGGCTGGCGACTTGCCGCTCCACCATTCATATACCACTTCGATATGTGCTCAACAACTGCACGTGAACAGCCCACTAAACGTGCTGTTTCTGATACTGATGTTCCCAGTCCCCAAGCCATAATGAGTTGACCTTTACCAAAGCCTGATAAATCAGCTGCTTTTCCCATTAAGTCGATAATCGCGCTGTGTTCCAAAAACAATGCATAGCCGCTTTCTATACACCAACATCAGCCGCGTAAGCGCAGTGGTTTTGTTCCTGGGTAAGCCCATTGTTATAGATGGAGGGTGGTCAAAATGTAATGACTCTTCAGTTTATATTATTATGATGATTACATCTATTATTATACGATTAATTATTCTATTAAGAATCATTTAGAGTTACTTGGATTTTTTGTGCTGATGTTTTTTCCTAAATTATTTCAAAAATGCACTGTTAAAAAAATTAAAACATCAATACTGTTTTATTCTCACTAAGTTTTTTTAATGATCTAGATCAATTAAATGCTCAGCAACAAGATGAACGAAATAACAACTTTGATCTTGCTTTGTGCTAATTGGCTAATATATGCTGGATGGCACACAGTAGCACTTGATGCTCACTGGAGAACCAGAACACGACGTTTTCGGACATGAGCAGAAATGCTTTGTGAATGATTTTTCTCACTGATGAAATGGCTTTTTCTTTTTGTTGTAAATCTAGAGGAAAACCAAGTGCTTTCAGATGTCCCAAATCACTTTTTTGTTATGCAAATAGTGAAGTATTAAGCCAAGATACATAAAAATAATAAGAAATTTTAAGAATGAGGAAAAGTCAGGAGAAATATGTTGTAAATTGAGTTGGCAAGAGAATGGTCGAAAATCTAGAGCATTGGCAACTCTGAAATATGTATTTCTTTATAAAAACAGAACCTACTCTGGATTTAAAATATAATTTTTCATTTATTAGTGTACATCGAATTTTTCTATCACTTATATTAACCCTTTGTGGCTCAGTGTTCCATTACATGGAACACCCAAATTGAATTGCTTCTGAAACCTTTAAATTAAACTGTAAATAGATAAAAATGCCTTTATAATATACTTGAACTTTTCTTTTTAAACAGTAGATAGCAGCATATTACAAGGAGACACAGAATTTTCATTTATTATGCGTTATTAAAATCCACTTTTTTAAGAGTAATTTTCTCTATTTTTTAATGATATAAAAATTTTATTTGGAGAAAAAAAAAAAAATTAGGCATAATTTTGCTGGCTGTACTCCAAATTATTTGTTCTTTATTTTTTTAATCTTTCATACAAAAATCATACGCAGAATCATTGAATAAAACCAGGTGTTCCATTAGCGGGAACAAACATCGTGCTTTACTAATCAGAACATCTGTGCTTAGGAGAGAACATCCTGTTGTTTTCGTTTTTCTGTTCCTTTGTTTTTTGGGGGGGAATGAATTCAAACAAAGCAGCATTGAGGGGCGAGGTGGTTTTTGTGTTATGAAAGCATTAATATTGGCATCTCGAAATTTTTGGGGGCAGTTTTTTTAGGCGGGAATTTCATTAGTAGCTTGACTCATCTTTACTTAGACCTACGCGAATTTTTTGCTGTCGCTTTTTAGTCTCATTCCCGTTTATTTTCAATAATTGTGTAGATATTTTTCGTGTATCTATATATTATAAGGCTTATTTTTCTTTATCGTTAATATTAATCGTAGTTAATTTTTTTATTATTAATTTTCCATAAATGACGAGGAGAGGTCTAACTCTTTCTGAAGCGCTAAAAGTGTTTCATGAATTACCTTCAGATTACAGCCCAAAGATTTCCGTTTAAATTTGCTATGTTCCCTCCGTGCCATGAAAGCGTCAGAGATAACTTTGAAGAGGCGACTTCCTTCAAGACCTGAAGATACTCCCAAGCATAAAGTAAAGGTTTCTGGGGGGAAAACGCTACAGTAGTGTTGAACACATACCGGTGAAGGGTACGCGTAGATGATGTGCACATTGTAGCACGAAAGCAGAAGCCGCACAAAACAACGTTTTATGTGAAAAATCTGCAAAGTTGGTTTGTGCTTCCATCAAAAGGTGTGACTTGCTTTGAACAATTTTCACGAAGCTAAGAAATAGGAAAATTTGTAAATATTTTTGTACATAGGACTTGTGTATATAGATATTTATCTCATTTATCCGTATATATTCAAGAATATTGTGTATATCCAGGAAACCCCATATATACAGCTATAATACGGAGTTTTTTCATTCTTATACAAAGGCTTCTACTCATTTTCGTGTTTTACTGCAATGCTCGCTTAGGCGCACTTTTAAAAGCTCTGGTGGCACACAGGACTTAGAAGAGAAGGGCTAGCTCATAGAGCTTTTCCCCCTGAAGCAGAAAGTGAGAAGTGATGACGTAGCCATGATGACGCTGAGCGCGTCAATATAATTCACAGCTTGGAAATTAGCGTTTTTGAACCAGCGTTTAAAATGAGCTGTGTGTGAAAGATAGCTATAATTTGGAAGAGGCAATGTTACTGCTTTATGAATTTTAGACTGAACCATTAAAAAAATTTAATAATGCTTACTCAATTTTAAAATAATAGATAAAATGTGCTACTCTTTTAACATAAAGTTCCGTGGTTTTTTTAATTTTTATTTGCAGATTTTTTTATTTAATGCACGTTTATTTCTAATCATTTCTTTATTTGCATGCTAACTGAGAGAATTTTTATGCTGCTTCTAAGATAACTATAATAGCAGCTATTTAAATTTACTCAAAAAAACAACTTTAC